AATGGTACAGATAGTTTAGCTAATGCAGTTAGTTAAGTTAGTAATAAGTCGACTTGAAGCACAGGAATTTTGCAGCTTATCTTGTGTACATGTCCCTCGCTACTAAGTCAGTCTTCGTTACCGGATATTTTGGCATTTGTAGGGTGGTTTGCGGAATTTAGTTAGATAGTACAGATGTATATAGTAAGCTAGATTTTGTGTTTTATGGGTTGGTACCTAGGTTATAGGCTAATTGTGGAGGGTGCGACTAAATTGGCTAACCATGATCCCGGTGCCGGATAATTATGATACAACAGTGTCAACTGTATGGTTTTTCCCAAATGTCGCGAATGTTAATCCTGCCTTAAAGAATCATGAAAAAGACATTTCTTTTTATTTGTTTTTCATTTTGGTACTACATATTGAAGATGCTTTGTTTTGATCCGTTGCGGTGTGCGCGTCTGATAATGGTTTACTAATAGAAGCAATATATTTTAAATTTTAACGCAAACAGTACAACAGTTAGGCAAAAGCAAGTTTCGAAAGTTTACAGGAGGGTAAACATGATATCATTTGGCTTGTGACACCTTTGGCAAGCTAGTCTCGTTTCACACTAGTTTGTAGGCTGTTCCAGGCGTTCATATAGTGGGGACGGGGCAAGTATATGTGAGAAGGAAAAATTGCGAGGGGGTTTGCCGCGCGCACTCCACTATATGAACGCCTGGCACAGGCTACACTAGTTTCTATTCACACCTCTACGATTGTGCTAGACGGTAAACTGAGTCATGCAGAGTTTGTGAGGTCACTAGGGCCAAGCACTTTGCAGTCATTTTGTACATAATATAATGTAAAGCATGTTTATAGGTGCGCTGCAAGCCCCTCCCCATCCCCGCACTAGAGCCGGACTCTAAAGCACCAATCTTTGGCGTCTCGGACGCAACAGATGAAAAGTTGGTGGAGCGGAAGGCACGCGCGCAGCAGCTGTATCAGGAACAACTTGAAATGGTGGCACAGAGAAAGAGGGATGCTATTCTTAAGGATCTACGTAATCAAAAGGAAGAGTCTGATATGCTGGAGAGAACACGCAGAGAGTAAGCCTTGATAATTAGCCTATCTTCCTATGTCATGGGCGGAAGTATTAAGCGTTTAATGCGTAAAAGAATTCTGGACATCGCGCATAGAGAAATTTTAACAGAATTTGAGTAATAGGACTTTCCCGCATTCCTGTAAACAAAGGCTTTAACTCGAGTCTTCGGTGAACAAAATACAGTGATTTGTACGAAATTGTCCACGCAAGCCTCGACCTCATTTTTTAATGTTTGCTCATTGGAGCGGAGTGCGGGGAGGGTCTATTTCCAGTGAAAAATAGCAGAGAAGCAAATTCCAGTAAGGAAGCGAACCTTCAGTATTTTTTTTGAAAACGCCCTTTAGTAGTCATGTTGATAAGACATCTTCACTGAGATCAACGCCCATCCATGGGTGATGAAGCACACAGATAATGTTAACGAAACTGACCACCAGACTGAGTTAAAATAAATTTCACTTGAGGCTTTGACTGGGAGGATTAGGGGGGGGGGGGGGG